CCTTGGTGCCATCTGAGCTTGGTTGTTTTCTTGCAAACATTTCATTACCCAACACGGTAACATCATCAATGCTACCAAGCATTGGAAGACCAAGTGTTGGAAGTGTCTACTTAGAACATCAAGACAGACTTCCTGTCCATTTTAGGAATCCATGAAGATTTATTTATTTATTTATTTATTTATTTATTTATTTATTTATTTATTTATTTAATTATTTAATTTGTATACTGCCCTTCTCCCAGAAGGGACTCAGGGCAGTGAACAGCCAAAATTAAAAAACATACAAATACAAAAGTTAAGATAATTAAAAAAGAATTAAATCATTAGCTTCCCAATTTACAACCCCCAAATCCATTAAATTTAAAATCCCAATTAAAAACCATTTAGGCTAGGCCGGCTTGGTGGAATAAAAATGTCTTCAGGGCTTTACGGAAGGTCCGGAGGTCCGGGATCAATCGTATTCCAGGAGGCAGCTCATTCCACAGGGCGGGTGCCCCCACATAGAAGGTTCTCCCCCTGGGGACCGCCAGCCGACATTGCCTGACTGACGGCACCCTGAGGAGACTCTCTCTGTGAGAGCGTATTGGCCGGTGGGATGCTATCCAAACCCCTCTAATATACATCCAGTGGAGAAAAGGCTACCATCTCCTCTATGTAGCTCTAATTTCTGTCTTGGTACCGTGTTTCCCCAAAAGTAAGACCCTGTCTTATATTTTTTTGAACCCCGAAATAAGCGCTTGGCCTTATTTTTGGGGAGGTCTTATTATTTTGGGGCACGTGAAGCAAGACGGGGATCCTCTTGCCGTCTCACCTGATTTCCAGCTCTGTCTCCCTAACCCTAACCAGAGGAATTGGCGGGGACCAGCTGCGCATGCATTTAAATATTTTCATGGGGGGCTTATTTTCGGGGGCAGGTTTATTTTCAGGGGAGCGTTTATTTGTGGGGGAGGGCTTATTTTCAGGGGAGCGTTTATTTGCGGGGGAGGGCTTATTATCCGGGGAGGTCTTATTTTCGGGGAAACACGGTAGTTCCACTGCATCCATTTTATTTCCTCTTCTATAATTTCCTTTCTAGCATAACATTAGTAACAGTGAGCCACACCAGAAATTCTCCTTCTAAGACAAATAGATAGGTCAAAAACTATCAGTGTGTCTGCCAGGAGCATCTGCAGGGCAGTTGACAAGATGATGGTTGCCACATTGGCTGTTTTCCTTATAAGAGGTCATGAAAGAGAGAATAGTTTTTTGTCCAACGTCCTGCAGAGGAGACCTCATAATGTTCACACACAATAAAAAGGTAAGTTGCCCTTCAAGTTGATCTTGACTCCTGCGGAATTTTCAGGAATCATAACAATAATATCGAAGTGGCATTATTGCCTCGTTCCTGGATGTTTTCTCAGCTTCCCAATCTAATCTGGTATGTGCTGGAAGAACTAACCAGCCAACCCTGCTTTATTTCCTAGCACAGACAAGGTCAGCAGTCACTGACGAAGCAAAAAAATAAACATTAATTAATTAATAATGTCTAAAACTCCCCAAGGAAGCACGCTGATACAGACAAAGCCAGATTTGCTGGTTATTGTAAATAACCTCACCATTATGTTGTTAATGTTTTATGTACTACCAGTGTTACATGTTATCAGAAACAGGAGCCATTCGATAAAATAGTAGCCCTGTATTAGCACCCAGTAAAAGGCCATGTTTGAGAGAGCCACCTTAGTGTAGTGGTTAAGGCACCAGATTACAAACTGGGTGACTTTGAGGTCTAGTCCCACCTTAGGTACAAGGCCAGCTATGTGACCTTGAGCCAATCACCAGGAGACTGTGAGTTCTAGTCCCGCCTTAGGCACAACCCTAGCTGGGTGACCTTGGGCCAATCACCAGGCGACAATGAGTTTTAGTCCCGCCTTAAGCACAAAGAGCCAGCTGGATGACCTTGGGCCAATCATTAGACGACTGTGAGCTCTAGTCCTGCCTTAGGCACAATGCTAGTGGGGTGACCTTGGTCCAATCACCAGGAGACAATGAGTTTTAGTCCCGCCTTAAGCACAAAGAGCCAGCTGGATGACCTTGGGTCAATCATTAGAAGACTGTGAGCAATAGTCCCGCCTTAAACACAAAGCAGCTAGGTGACCTTGGGCCAGTCACACTCTCTCAGTCTTGGAATGAAGACATCGGATCTTGCCAAGAAAACTACAGGGATTAATTGGGGCATTTGCCAGGAATCAAAACCTGACTCAGAGGTGCACAGGCACACACATATACAAACATGGTAAGTGAAAATTCTGATGCACTATTCGAGGGGTCGGCAACCTTAAACACTCAAAGAGCTACAAAAGTTCTAACCAGAAGGCCCTGTTCAATTCTGGAGCCAACCGGAAGTCCGGTTCCCCCATCATAGTCTCCTCCTAGTGCGATGTCCTTTTTCCTCTGCTGACCGGAAGTCTGGTTCCCCCACCATAGAGCCTCCTCCCAGTACGGCGTCCTTTTTCCTCTACCTGTCCTAACCGAAAGCCCTATCAATTGTGGATCCAACCAGCAACAGGAGCCGCAGCAGAGGGATGAAAGAGCCACATGCGGCTCCAGAGCCGCGGGTTGCTGACCCCTGCACTAGTCCAACTCTTTTGGAGAATCCAAGGTTTGAAACACTATTCAATCTATCGTTGACCAGATATTAGCAGCAGTGCATTTTCCTTCATGGTTCATCCTGGAAAGTAATTTTCCACTCTGTTTGAGTAGGTCCTTATCGAAGGAGACAGACCAAAACTCTGCTTGATTTTCCTCTGGTTGCTGTTACTGCAAATGGAAATCTAGATATCCATGCATGGGAAAGAAACAGCCAAGACATTTGGTATCTGCAATCCATTCATGTCGGAACTGGCTCAAAGGGATGGTTGTTGCTCAAAGCAAAAAGATTGATCTAAATAAGCCAAAAAAAAAAAAAAGAAAGAAAAAGAAAGAAAGAAAAGAAAAGAAAAGAAAAGAAAAGAAATGATAGTTAATGCTCCATCTCAGAATTTCTAGGAAATTAAGACCCCTTGTATTCTAAGGCTACTCCTATTTTCTCCTGGGATGGAAAAGATCTACAAGAATTTAATAAATCTAAAAAGAAAGCATCTGCCTGGACCAGTGGTAGGATTCAAATTTTTTTACTGCCGGTTCTGTGGGTGTGGCTTGGTGGGCGTGGCTTGGTGGGCATGGCAGGGGAAGGATACTGTAAAATCTCCATTTCCACCCCACTCCAGGGGGAAGGATACGGTAAAATCTTCATTCCCTCTCCACCCCACTGCTTTCCAGCTCCATTCTCCAGTGCAGGGCAACAAAAGAAGATCCAGCCAATCAGTTGGGACTCGATCAGCTGGGACTCAGGAAGCAACGAATAGATGGGGGCGGGGCCAGTCAGAGATGGTATTTACCGGTTCTCCGAACTACTCACAATTTCCTCTACCGGTTCTCCAGAACCAGTCAGAACCGGCTGAATACCACCTCTGGCCTGGACGACAGATGGATTTATTGGGTAAATTCAATCACAGCCCACTTAGTCCTTTCTTTCTCATCTCCACAACAATTCAAAGTTGATCTTCAGTCATTTGGTTGTTTTATGCAAATGGCTTTTACCAAAAGGCTTTCAAAGATATTTTGCTTTCAAGGGACAACCGATCCCCAGCTTTCAAGGCAGCCAACTGAAGGCGGGCTGCAGCAAGTTTGAATTCATTAGGTTCCCAAGTCAATAATTTATTTAATTAACGAACTAATTAACCGAGTTAAGTACGTTGCACAAAGCCAGCCACACATAGATGCCCAGAGTAGGGAAGGGAATTGGTGCCATCTGCATCAGGATGCCCTTGTACAAATTATTGACTCTGTATTTCTTTCTCAGAGACGCTTCTGATGCAAATGACATAACATATGGCTTATACCAGACAACTATGCAGCCACAACAGGAGGGAAAACTCGAAAGAGGGGGAAAGAAATTGGGGGTGAAATGCTCAAGTGTGTTCTCCCCGCTCCTGGGCACCTTGCCCAAGTCCCCTTAACTTTGGCAGCACCCCTGTTTTTGAGCCCAACACTTTGAAGAAAGGTTGGGATTCAGATATGATTCATTGTCAGACTTACTGTATTGACTCCATTAACTCGCTTGCCAGAAAAGATAACATTCATCGCTTTTAGAGCTAGGAAATAGTTTAGATGCCTGCCGGTACCACTAACCGACTTCTGGAGAGCGTTTCAAAATCCTTTTGCCAATATATACTCTTTTTTTTTTTTTTTAGCCACCTGGAATTTTTCTCGGCATGATTTCTGAGCAATGTTTGAAAAGTGGCAGAAAAGTCTGTTTAGCAACACAATAGTCCCCTGAGATCCGTCAGTTTACTCTGATTGATGTCATTAAGGCCGCTGAGAAATAGTGACCAGCCCATAGTGAATAATCACATATAAGCTAGTGGTGGGAGTTAAATTTTTTCACTACCGCTTCTGTGGGTGTGGCTTGGTGGGCGTGGCTTGGTGGGCGTGGCAGGGGAAGGATACTGTAAAATCTCCATTCCCACCCCACTCCAAGGGAAGGATATTGCAAAATCCCCATTCCCGCCCGATCAGCTGGGACTTGGGAGGCAGAGAATAGATGGGGGCGGGGCCAGTCAGAATTTTTACTACCGGTTCTCCGAATTACTCAAAATTTCCGCTACCGGTTCTCCAGAACTGGTCAGAACCTGCTGAAACCCACCTCTGGTATAAGCTCATCAGATCTGTCCATACACCACCCTACAATAAACTACACTACATACACTAGAGGTAGTCCTCAATTTACGGTCACAATTGGGACCAGAAATTCCATGGCTAAACAAGTTGGTTGTTTAAGTGGATTGTGATTTGGTTGTTTAAGTCAGGGATGGGGAATTATGGCCCCTTTATGACTTGTGGACTTCAACGCCCAGAATTCCTGAGCCAGCATGTCATAAAGGGGCCAACCTCTGGTTTAAGTGAATCCAGTTTCCCACTTTGACTTTGCTTGGGGGAAGCCAGCTGGGAAGTTGCCAATGGTGAGCATATGACTACAGATGTTGCAACCTTCATAAATACATGCTGGTGGCCCATTGCCCAAATTTTGATAGGTAAACCGGAGGCGGCTGCAAGGACCAGTTATAAGTCACGTTTTTCAGTGCCCTTGTAACTTTGAATGATCACTAAATAAATGGTCATAAGTCAAGGCAGGGGTGAAATGCTCCCAGTTCGGATTGGATTGCCCAATCCAGTAGTGATGGAGGCGGGTGGTTCAGAGAACCAGTAGCAAAATTCCCTTCCCTCTCCCCCATGCCTAGCTGAGCCGCGCGATCATCAGAGGCTTTTTTTTCTTTTAAATGCCTCTGACAATCCCAGCTGAGTTGCCTGATCGTCAGAGGCATTTAAAAGAAAAAAAGCCTCTGCCGATCAGGCAACTCAGCTGGGATCGTCAGAGCCTTTTGAAAGCATTTTTTTACAACCTCTTCGACGAAGAGGTTGTAGAAAAAATGGTTTTAAAAGTAAAAATAAAAAAAATTGGCCACTCACATTAACCCCCCCCTCACCAAGCCACGCCCACAGAACCGGTAGTAACAAATTTTAGATTTCACCACTGAGTCAAGGACTATCTTTATAACTCTATAGCAGTAAGATCTATGGATCATACATTTTGACATAACCATAGTGGTTTAAAAACATATACATACACACATACACATGTATATACACATGTATATATATTTTCTTACTCTTCGTAGGTTTTATGTGTGTTTTTCTTTTAACCAGGTTTTTCCTACGTAACCAAGATTTTTCTGCAGCCCTAGCTCAGTGGAGTCACATCCACTTGATTCTGAGGGCTGGTCTATGGGGAAAGACATCAGATAGTTACATTTTAATAGTTTACTCGAGAGTCCGTTTTGCTATAGAGTAGACAAGGGGTGTCAAACTCAATGTCCGCAGGCTGGATGCGCCCACGGGGTGCTTAGATCTGGCCCGTAGGGCAGTAGTAGGTTTCAAATCCTGTCACTAGTGGTTTGCTCATGTGTGTGCACATGCACGCAATGCTTCTGAGCATGTGCAGAAGCTTCTGCGCATGCGCAGACATCCAGGTGGGTGGGCGGAGCCTCCCGCCATCACCGCTACTGGTTCGCCTGATCTGGGGCGAACCGGTAGCAACCTACCACTGCCATAGGGCCACCCTGGAAACAGCAAAGGACCGGGCTGTGGTGGCTCTGCCATTGAAAATGGAGCTCGGGAGGGCTGCATACGGCCCTCCCGAGCTCCATTTTCACTGGCAGAGGGTTGCAGGAGACCGTCGCAGCCGAAAATGAAGCTCAGGAGCTGGCAGAGCGCTCGGGCCATCACAGGCACCCTCAACACAAGTAATGTTGATCTGGCTATGTCCCCTGGCCACACACCCCTGCCCCCCCCTCCAAAGTCAAACACAACCCTGATGCGGCCCTTAATGAAATCGAGTTTGACACCCCTGGAGAAGACTGACACTAACTGAGCCTAGCAGTGGTGGGTTCCTTCCGGATTGGCCTGGTTCTCCCGAGCCGGTAGCGGTGATGATATGACATCACTGAACCAGATCTGCCCCCGCCCCCCGCGCCCTCCCCGTACCCACCCCCACCCAACCCCTGTGTTATTCTTACCTTTTATTTGGTCCCACCCCCAATCTATTGCTGCCTCCTGAGTCCCAGCTGATGGCTAGAGGGAAAAAAACTGTTTAAACTCTTGCCACCGGGCTTCAAAGGGCCGCCCTACAGCTGATCAGTGTTAAAAGAAAACAAATGAGTAGACCAGTGCCTGCAAAAATACATGAGTAGATCAGTGCCTGCAAAAATAAATGGGTAGACCAGTGCCTGCAAAAAATAAATGGGTAGATCGGTACAGCTCGGCAAGCAGTTAAAAGCCTGGTAGACCAGTACCTCTGCTAAATCCTAAATAATTGTCACATGACCATCAAGCCACGCCCACAAAATAAGCCACGCCCGCAGAACCGGTAGTAAAAAAAATTAGAACCCACCCATGGAGCCTAGACAACGTAGCTCATTTAGAGTGGAGTTTTTAACTTGGAATATATAGCTGGCCACTTGGAGCCAATCTAAAACTGGTATATTTTTTAAAACCTGGGTTCAGCTGCTCAAATTCTTGCTTCATTCCTCACTGTCTACCTGGACCCTGGCCTAGTTAATCTCCTGCACTCCTTTAGTCTCCCCCTCTTCTTCTCTTGAACTCTGTTGTATGGTGGAAGTCTTTAATTACCTTGGCAAGTTCCTAGGAATCTTGATGGAGAAACAGCCACACTGTCTGAATTGCTGATGTTTGGCTAAGTGGAAAGTTTAACCAATCTTATCTTCCCGCGAGGCACAATGACTCTGCTATGTGAAAAAAAAGGATAATAACGGCATAACTAACCATTAAGACAGGAAATGAACGCGTGTTTTCTATATTCCTCAAGACTCTGGGAATGTTTTCGAACTCAGAGTGGATTCACACAATGAGAAACACGGAAGCTGTGAAAAGCACCCTCGGGACATTATTCCCTCAGTGTTTCATGAGATCATCTAAGAAAGCCCTCCTTGCAGTGTCCTTTGTGCTATTTTTTTGAAATAATTATGAAAGTTTAAAGGCTGCCCAATTGCAAACAACGCTGGGCTGCTTACATTTTAAACGACAGAACAATAACAGAGAAATCAAATCATGTACAGGTAGTCCTCGGCCTGTGAACCACAATTGAGCTCAAAATTTCTGTTGCTAAGTGAGACAGTTAAGTGAATTTCGCCCCAATGTTGGACTTTTTATGCCACAGTTCTTAAGTGAATCACTGCAGTTGTTACGTTAGTAACGCAATTATTAAGTGAATCTGGCTTCCCCATTGACTTTAGTTTATTTGATTTGTATACCGCCCTACTCCCGAAGGACTCAGGGCGGTGAACAGCCAACAATAAAATACATAAATACACAAAATTTGCTTGTCGGACGGTCACAAAAGGAGATCACATGACCCTGGGACACTGCAACCGTTGTAAATAGGAGTCAGCTGCCAAGCATTTGAATTTTGAACCGACCAGGGGTGGGTTCTAAAAATTTTTACTACCGGTTCCGTGGGCGTGGCTTATTTTGTGGGTGTGGCTTGAGGATCATGTGACAATTATTTAGGATTTAGCAGAGGTACTGGTCTACCAGGCTTTTAACTGCTTGCAGAGCTGTACCAATCTACCCATTTATTTTTTGCAGGCACTGGTCTACCCATTTATTTTTGCAGGCACTGATCTACTCATGTATTTTTGCAGGCACTGGTCTACTCATGCATTTTTGCAGGCACCGGTCTACTCATTTGTTTTCTTTTAACACTGATCAGCTGTAGGGCGGCCCTTTGAAGCCCGGTGGCAAGAGTTTAAACAGTTTTTTTCCCTCTAGCCATCAGCTGGGACTCAGGAGGCAGCAATAGATTGGGGGTGGGACCAAATAAAAGGTAAGAATAAGCGGGGGGTGGGGGGGGGTGGGGGGGGGGGCACGGGGGGGGAGAACCGGTTTGGTGACATCATATTGTCACCGCTACCAGCTCGGGAGAACCGGGCCGAACCGGGAGGAACCCACCACTGCACCCGACCATGGGGATGCCACCATATCTTTTGATTAAACTTGTAGGAAAGTCATCTGTAAAAAGGTAAAGGTAAAGGTTCCCCTCGCACATATGTGCTAGTCGTTCCTGACTCTAGGGGTCGGTGCTCATTTCTGTTTCAAAGCCAAAGAGCCAGCGCTGTCCGAAGACATCTCCGTGGTCATGTGGCCGGCATGACTAAACCCCAAAGGCGCACGGAACACTGTTACCTTCCCACCAAAGGTGGTCCCTATTTTTCTACTTGCCTTTTTTACGTGCTTTTGAACTGCTAGGTTGGCAGAAGCTGGGACAAGTAATGGGAGCTCACCCTGTTACACAGCACTAGGGATTCGAACCACTGAACTGCCAACCTTTTGATCAAGCTCATCATCTTAGCCACTGAGCCACCGCATCCTATAAGACATCTGTAGAGCATGCAAAAAAAAACAAAACGATGAAGGCACTCTTAAAGCCCCACTCTTTTTTTTAAACACGTAATGCAAGTGTGATTCTTGTTTTTAAAAAGATGAATTTTGATCACACTGATGTGGCTGATACCTTACTTTTTTGATCGCGCTCCTGTAGACAATCATTTTTGGGTAAATAGTAGAATTAAGATTCGCTAATGTACAGATATATAGACTGTTCAGGTTCAGTTAAGCTAAGCCATGCTTTGTTTTAACCATGGATGGGGTTAAATAAGCCTGACATTCCAAACTAAGCAAAAAACAAACAGACAACATTATGGTTTTGTGCAATGGGTAATTTACCAATTATTTAATCTTGTGGAATTTCAGGGGAAATGTTGTGTTCTACTACAACTAATGAATTAAATCAGTTTGTTATTTGGAAACCCCCTAAGTGATGGCTCTAAGAGGGGGTGTTTTGTATTTCCAGATCCACTGATGTGGTGTCACAACATGTTTTGGAGGTCGACACTGGAAATGTAAAACGCAGAGTATCATTGCATTGACACAGTGAAGGATCACACTTTAGTTGAGCAAGATCACAAGATGAGTTTCAATTGAGCCTCTTCCAAGTGAAGATTAGAGAAAGGCCAAGATGGATCTGCTCAAGCCAAGAGTATTTTTGGCTCCAAGGCAGGCAACCATTTGGAGAACAGAGAGTGCCCTGCCAGTTCACCACTAATAGGTGTCATTCTCCATGTGAACTAAAGCTTCTCACCATCACGAGGTCATTCATGGTCTCTTCCAAACATTCCATTTCCACAAAAATATATGGCAAACGCTCCAGCTACTCAAGAAAACACTCCGTTCTTAAGAATTGCACTGGACAAAACTTCACAAATCCAAGAATCAGTACGTCATGCTTGTTTACCCAGGAGAATTCCTCCATGAATACAGTCCTTATTTATGAGCAGGACTTCAGTGAAGATTTGATAAGACTTCAAGGCACAGGCCAAGCTGACTTTAAAGTTCAGTCGAAGGTGGAGGACAGCGAAGGGAGCAGACAAGATCACAGAGACAGGAGAAGCTTGAGGGGTGGCAGGAAAGACAAGCAGAATGGTGAATAAGAAGGAGAAGTAGGTATGGATGTCTTACAAGCATATTTCCTGAGTCATGTGCCACATGTTTTTGCTATACTGCAAAAACAGTGGATGATGATGATGTGATGGTGATGATGACGATGATGAACCCGTAAGGAAGGTAAGTAGATTTCACTCCTGGCTAACAGTAAACAACAGCCAAATTAAGGAACCACCAAGTTCATGTCCACCAACACTGACACGGCAAGCCACGTGTCTATAAACGAAAAGCAAAGTCCATTCCCTTTTAGCACTGATGAGGCTACCTAGTTGGGTAATGAAACGTCTGCAAGAAAACAACCAAGGTCAGAGAGCACCAAGGACCCCACAGTTCAACCCTGAGTCACAAATCTTCTCTTCCCTCGGCTATTCTTGTTTCTACTAGGTGGGTTCAGAGGTGGGTTTCAGCAGGTTCTGACCAGTTCTGGAGAACCGGTAGTGGAAATTTTGAGTAGTTCGGAGAACCGGTAAATACCACCCCTGACTGGCCCCGCCCCCATCTATTCTCTGCCTCCCAAGTCCCAGCTGATAGGGAGGAAATGGGGATTTTGCAGTATCCTTCCCCTCAGGGGTGGGTTCTAAATTTTTTTACTACCAGTTATGTGGGTGTGGCTTATTTTGTGGGCATGGTTTGATGGTCATGTGACAATTCCTTAGGATTTAGCAGAGGTATTGGTCTACTTTTAACTGCTTGCAGAGCTGTACCGGTCTACCCATTTGTTTTTGGAGTGTTCCGGTCTACCTATTTGTTTTTGGAGCACACTGATCTACCACACTGCCTTTTAACACTGATCAGCTGTAGGGTGGCCCTTTGAAGCCCCAGGGCAAGAGTTAAAACAGTTTTTTTCCTTCGAGCCGATCAGCTGGGACTCGGGAGGCAACAAATAGATTGGGGGCAGGGCCAGGCAGAGGTGGTATTTGCCGGTTCTCCGAACTACTCAAAATTTCCACTACCAGTTCGCAAGAACTGGGGAGAACCGGTAGCAACCCACCACTGCTTCCCCTGGAGTGGGGAGGAAATGGGGATTTTATTATTTATTTATTTATTTATTTATGAGATTTATATGCCGCCCTATCTCCAGCCGGACTCAGGGCGGCTGACAACAGTAAAAAAACATCTAATGAAAAAGTTAAAAAGAAATTAAATCCAAATCTCATAATTTAACAGTTAAAAGTGCAATTAAGACTAACAAGTTAAAAATTAAAACCCCATCAGTCCAGGCCAGCCGAACGAAACAGCCACGTTTTCAGGTCACGACGGAAAGAGCGGCGGTCGGGGGCCACCCAGAGCTCCAGGGGCAGTTGATTCCAAAGGGTAGGTGCACCCACAGAGAAAGCTCTCTCCCTGGGGGTCGCCAGCTGACACTGTCTGGCCGACGGCACCCTGAGGAGGCCCTCTCTGTGGGAACGCACGGGGCGATGGGCAGCCGTTGCTGGCTGCAAATGGCCCCCCCAATTTTGCAGTATCCTTCCCCTGGAGTGGAAAGGAAATGGAGATTTTACAGTATCCTTCCCCTGCCACACCCACCAAGCCACACCCAGAGAACTGGTAGTAAAATTTTTTGAAACCCACCACTGGGTGGGTTAATGTTACCACAGTTCCCATCATCCCCCAGTCTACATGATACTGGGGCTAGTGGGAGATCAAATCAAGCAACAGCTTTGCAAGAACTGTGCTCATTAAGCAGTTCATTAAGGTACCACCACTTTCCATCTTGCTGTTGCAACATCTGAGCAGCATTGATTCCACAGCGGAGACAGATGTGCGATGGAGTTTAATGGTGAACAAAAAGCGGACTGAAAAGGCGAGAAACGCAGCTCTGGCGTTTTTTTCTTTCCACCATTGTTGAAAGACTGAAACACAGTCAGGCTGATAAAGGGCAAGATCACATGTTTGACGTCGAGATTTCCCCTTTCAGACTGTACGGGATCCAGATTGGTTTGTTGGTCTATCTTATCAAGCAAGTGTTATCTTCTTGGGAGTGCAAATGCCAAAATTGAAAGACGAGGCCTTGCCTGTATCTTAAAGGGAGTATGATCTCACTACTCTTTCAAAAGGCCTCCGTATAAATCTGTGGGGGCTTCCCACATCAATCATGCCACATACCCTCGAGCGAAATGAATGATGAGCTACTCAGATTCTCACCCATGTTGTGGGGCTCCTCCCCAACCCCATTTCAATGAATAATATTTGTCCTAAGACCCAATGTAAGTTTAAGTTTAAGTTTATTTATTTGTCAAGCATATATAAGATTACAGGTAAAAAGAATAAACATAATTTGAATACATGAAAAGAGTAAGAGTAAAAAGGAATATTAGGACAGGGATGGTAGGCACGCTGGTGCACTTATGCACGCCCCTTACAGACCTTTTAGGAATGGGGTGAGGTCAACAGTAGACAGTTTAAGGTTAAAGTTTGGGGAGTTTGGGGATGAAACCACAGAGTCAGGTAGTGCATTCCAGGCATTGATCACTCTGTTACTGAAGTCATATTTTCTGCAATCGAGTTTGGAACAGTTTACCTTGAGTTTGTATCTATTATTTGCTCGTGTATTGTTGTGGTTGAAACTAAAGCAGTCATTGACAGGAAAGACATTGTGGCAGATAATTTTATGTACTATGCTTAGGTCAGACTGAAGTTGGCATAGTTCTAAGTTGTCTAAGCCCAAAATTTGGAATCTGGTGGTATAAGATATTTATATTTTGGTTATTGGAATGGAGGACTCTTCTTGTAAAATATCTCTGGGCTGTCTCAATTTGTATTTATGTCCCATATGCAGTGTGGAGTTCCAGGCAGATGAACTGTATTTGAGAATTGGTCTAGCAAATGTTTTGTATGCTCTAGTTAGTAGTACAACATTACCAGAGAAGAAGCTACACAAGATTAAGTTAACAACTGTTAAAGCCTTTTTGGCAATGTTGTTACAGTGGGCTTGGGCACTTAGATCTTTAGAAATGGGTACTCCAAGGTCCTTCACTGTGGAGTTGGGATCGCAGAAACACCCCAGGAGCATAGAAGAGTTCAGAGGCAGATGCATAAATAAATGTCTTAAACGTATTTATTCATATGATAAAGCATATTAACTATGTACAACAGAGATCAAGTCTCATGAGGAACAAACATGAAGAGAGAGAGATGGAGAGAGAGCAAGGTGGAAAAGGTTGGAGGGGGTTTTATACTCAGGGTAAGCCCCTCCTTTCCACATAGGGGTGGAGACACTCTCTGCCTCCACTAGTGTCTATATGACACATGTGCCAATGGCTTGCAAATACTTGACATTGACAGAGTGAGGGTCATCTACAAGGTCATGTCCATCTAATTTGTATTTTATGTTTTGATTTTTTTTTTGCCAATGTGCAAAACAGAGTATTTGTTGATTGAGATTTGAAGTTGCCACTTGTTAGACCAATCTGACATATAGTCAAGGTCTTTTTGAAGGGTAGTTGCCTTGTTGGTGGTGTTGAATAGTTTAACATCATCAGCGAACACAGAGAACACATTCAAAGAGAGATTGGCTGAAGTGGTTCAGTTGAAGCGGTGTCGCTTCAGAATTATGAATGAAAGGAAGGGGAAGGAGAGGAGGGGAAGGAGAGGAGGAAAGAAGAAAGTAGAAGAGGATAGAAGAAGGGAGGAAAGGGAAAGAGAGGAGAAGGAGAAGAAGGATTGTTGTAAAATAAGGGAGATGGAATGGTAGAAGAGCAACCCTGAGCATACTTAAATTGTTTAGGATGAAGAACGAACTAATATGAAAGTCAAAAGAGCATATGTATGATCAACAATAGATTAGAGACTGTACACTTAAGACATGTTTATGAGAAATAAAAACAAAAAACTTTTCCAAAAAAAAAAAGAATTATGAATGAAGAACCACAGATTTTTTTTTAAGATCTGAGATTGATAAAATTCTTCATGAATCATATGAAAAATCTCTGACTGGAATTCTGCAGAGCTGTTGGGAATCAAGTGGAAATGTTGACCTAAATGGGCAAAGAGTTAGTCCTAACAGAATTGGAAGGGGTCTTAGAGGTCTTCTAGTCCAACCCTCTCCTCAGGCAGGAAACTCTCCACAATTTCAGACAAATGGTTGTCCAGTCTCTTAAAAACCTCCAGTGTTGGAGCATCGATAACTTCTGGAGGAAAGCCATTCCCATTAATTGCTCTGTCAGGAAAGTCCTCCTAGGTTCTAGGTTGGATCTCTCCTTGATTAGTTTCTACCCATTGTTTCTTGCCTTGTCTTTGGTACTTTGGAGAATAGTTTGACCCCCTCTTCTTTGTGGCAGACCCTGAGATAGTGAAATGCTACTATCTTGTCATTCCTAGACCTTCTTTTCAAAAACTAAAGGTAAAGGTTCCCCTCGCACATATGTGCTAGTCATTCCCAACTCTAGGGGTCGTTGCCCATTTCTGTTTCAAAGCCGAAGAGCCAGCGCTGTCTGAAGACGTCTCCATGGTCATGTGGCTGGCATGACTAAATGCCAAAGGTGCACGGAAGGCTGTTACCTTCCCACCAAAGACGGTCCCTATTTTTCTACTTGCATGGGGTTTTTTACGTGCTTTCGAACTTCTAGGTTGGCAGAAGCTGGGACAAGTAACGGGAGCTCACCCTGTTATGTGGCACTAGGGATTCGAACCGCTGAACTGCTGACCTTTTGATCGAGAAGCTCAGCATCTTATCCACTGAGCCACCGCATCCCCTTTTCATTAAACTAGACATACCCAATTCCAGCAACCGTTCTTCGTATATTTTAGTTTTCAGTCCCCTAATCAGTGGTGGGTTGCCCCATGTTTGGACCGGTTCTATAGAACCGGTAGTAAAACCAGAGGGAGGCTCCACCAACTGACCCCGACATCATCAGAACGCTTCTGCGCATGTGCAGAAGAGCGCACATGTGCGGCCCCTTTGCAAACCGGTAGTAAAGAGGAATAGAACCCACCCCTGCCCCTAATCATCTTTGTTGCTCTTCTCTGTACTCTTTCTAGAATCCCAATATCTTTTTTATATGGTAGCGACCAAAACTGGATGCAGTATGATGCAATTTCCTATAAAAATTTAAAGGAAGCAAGAAGAAAGCATGGCTTAATATTGCCTTCATTGGGTTTTTTGGGGGGGGGAGGTGGAAAGGCAGTTTCAACAGCATCCCTTTAAATCTACTCGCTTAGTAACCTAGCATGAAGGAAGTTTACTTTTGCAAGCTGCTGTGCATGATAGAACAATTCTTAGTAGCTCATAAATCTCTTGACTTTTGCAAAGGCTTTTTCACAATGATCAGATACAAGCAATTGTTTCACTTGAGGGGTTGGTGAAAAATATCTGATTGCTATCGCTGAGCTCTTATTGACTTAAAACAAAGGAGTTGGCAGTTTAATCAGTGGCCATTCCTCTGCCTGGGGCAGATTCCCAAATCAGGATTTCATCTCCTCCACTGAGAAATTCAAACAAGGATTAAAATGGTTTTGACCCTCCAACGAAGCCTTAAGGTCTGAAGTGGGGTGAAGTAAGAAACCTTTGAGGATATTGTAAAAGACAGCTCAAGTTTGCTCTTTTCTCTTATCGGCAGAATTTGGTGGCTGAAGTCCATCAGGCTGCCACAGCATCAGGGTTGCCAAAGCAAAGCTTCGAATAAATAAAGATTTGAAGAAGAAGAAGAAGAATAAAAAGCCAAAGTGGTGAACATCTACAAAGATCTTGTATGAGAATCAAAATCTTGCCAAATCTGTCTCTATCTATCTCATGAGAGTGGAAATATTCGTAAGCAAAAAAATAATCTTTGAAAATTGGAAAGTCAATGGATGTCCTGTAGAATTGCCATGAACATCACAGTATCTGTGATTGCTGGATTGTTCGCTTCTACTTTATTAATATTAGATTTTGCAAAGTTGGGCTCAGAACTATTAAGAAACTAAAGGTGATATAGGTAATCTTTGACTCACAACTGTAGTGAAGCCTACGATTGAGTGCCAATAAATTGTGGCTGCTCCAAAAATGGCGGCCAGTTCCGGGATCATGTCACATGGCCCAGGGGTGAAGCAGCCTACTCTCATTCCTTAACATGAGCTCGGGAGATCTGGAATGGATGTTGGGTAGAGAGGGATGTGACGGAAATAGCAGGAGGATCTTTTGCATCCCCATGGTGAGTTGTAAGGGGAATGACCACAGGTGCTGCAGTGGCCATAACTTCAAAACCGGATCCTAACTGGCTTTTGAGCCTTGGTGGCACAGTGGTTAGAGTGCAGTACTGCAGGCTACTTCTGCTGCCTGCCGGCTGCCTGCAATTTGGCAGTTCGAATCTCACCAGGCTCAAGGTTGACTCAGCCTTCCATCCTTCCGAGGTGGGTAAAATGAGGACCCAGATTGTTGGGGACAATAGGCTGACTCTGTAAACCGCTTAGAGAGGGCTGTAAAGCACACCCAGCAACCGGGCTGAGAACCCCTTGCTAAAATTTTTGAAGCCCACCCCTGATTTGGTTAGTCTACAGATAGGAGACCATGTGGAAATCCCAAGGCTGTAAATTAGATCAGAAGTCAAAAACACATCCCTAAAACAGGCAATGAAAAAATCGCCTTTGTATCTTGCCAGGAAACTGACACGGACATCATCAGGTTGACTCAAAGGAGACGCAAGTCTGAAACATCTACATATGCCAAGGTTCTCAGAAAGACATCAGTCCCACAGGGATCCAAAGGAATTTATTTTAGAAGCTTCGTTTTTTTCCCAGGGACCGAACTTAAATTCCTTTCTGATTTCTACAGCATTCTGTTTGTTTGTGTACGGTTTAGAGCCCGTGATAGATTTCTTCAGCTTCCTGAAGGTTTGCAAAGAATACCAGGAAGTTCTCCGTAAAATTCCCTACAATGGCATTTTCAAAAAGATAGACCTGTTCAGAAACGTCAGCCTGACCTTAGCAGTTTCATGAATTGCGTCTCTGACCTTCGTTCTGTCCGCTGTTGGGTATACACTGAACTTGAGTTCCTTAAGCTGAATGACCTCTGAAAAGGCAGAGGTGCTAGTTGTGGCTTAAAAACATTTCAGCGTATTTTATTAGCATGGTTGAGATGGACAGGAAAATGGATGTACTGTAAGTTTTCCATAAACTGGAATTTGTTAATCGGTCTGGAAGCCCAAGGAGCCAGACTGGGCATTATTCAAATCTAGTGCAATTTTGCTAAGGTTTGAGAAAGTTTTGCAACCCTGTTCTAACTCAGCTCCCCAAACATGACAAATCCTTTGTAGTTGAAGCAATGATTCCTTTATTTGGAGCACCAGCAGCCCCGGCAAAAAGTTTCTTTTTCACCACAGGCTAACAAGTCTGTCTGGTAGGGGAAATCAGGGGTGGGTTCTAAATTTTTTTACTACTGGTTCTGTGGGCGTGGCTTATTTTGTGGGTGTGGCTTGGAGGTCATGTGACTAGGTGTGCGTGGCTAGCTGGTCAGAGTCATTTCTGGAAGGTCCTTGCACTTACGACCAGTCCTCGCACTTACGACCCGACTCATTTGTTTGCTTTTAACACTGATCAGCTGTAGAACGGCCCTTTGAAGGCCCGGGGCAAGAGTTTAAACAGTTTTTTTTCCCTCTAGTGATTAGCTGGGACTCAAGAGGCAGCAATAGATTGAGGGTGGGACCAAATAAAAGGTAAGAATAACATGGGTAGGGGGGTGGGGGGTGGGAGGGCGAGGGGGGGAACCGGTTCAGTGACGACATATCGTCACTGCTACCGGCTCAGCCGAACCGGACCGAACCGGGAGGAACCCACCACTGGGGGAAATGAATAGTTGTCTGCCACATCTATTCATCTCCGCCCCCTGCCTTTTAACCCCAGAGCTAGGGTGGGGCTTCGCTAGCAGCGGAGGCTCTTCCGTCCCAAGGTTTAGCCCACATATTTCCACTGCTCTCCTCTCCTCTCCTCTGTCTTCTGTACATCAGCATGTCAGGCAGTGGACCCAGCTGTTCCTCTTCATCAGCAACTTCCAGACCTGGGGGCTGTTGACTCTCCATCTGAGGGCTGACAGATGGCCCAGGCTCCGCCTCTGTCTCTCGCTCTCGCTCTCGGCCAGCTCCATTCCCTCTTTCCCCTCAGAGCTCTCAGGTTGCCTTGATGCTGACCCTGGCTCCCACGCCCCCTCCTCATCTGATTCAGCTGCTGCAGGGGCTGGCGGCTGACAGGCCACAACAAACCCTTTGAAAGAGTTTGAGAAACTATGCTGCAAAAATTCACCAAGTTACAACCTTTCATTTAATGACAGTTCAAAGTTACAGTGACCTTTGAGAAGATGACTTACAACCTGCACTTGCACTTATGACCGTTGTAGTATTCCTGTGGTCACATGATTGCAATTTAGAGGGTTTGGGGACCAGTTCACTCTTACAACTGGTTGTAGTGTCCTGTGGTCAGGTTGTTATGGAATGATGAGACCAAACAACATTCCTGGTCAGCCAGAGACAGTTTATTGCGCAATTTCAGAATCGGATTTGTATCTGCAATTCTGAACAAAGAAGAGCTCTGATACAACTGCTTTTATACAGATCCAAGACAAAGGATTTTGTGAGCACAGCAGTTTTCCATATATGGTTAACGTACATTTGTTACATGATAATTGATACTTTCTAAATTACTAAATTCCTACATTATTTTCTAGTTCATAAGATTATCTTAGCTAAACAACCTTCCTCAGTTTTGTGATTGCTGATACATAGATTCATGGCTGCTTTGGATAATAAGTAACTTTTGTTTCATATGGATGTCCTTGCATCTTTGACAACTAGGCCCCTCAGAAGATATATATTACCAAGAATGGAATTTAGCTGACTTAGTGTAATCTCTAAACAAGCACATTCCTTTCTTATAATAATGTGAATAAAGAGGGTCCTTCAGTGTTCATATAGCTGACCCTGTACTATTCCTACATCATTCACATTAAGGTGATCACAATTTGCAACTTTTTTGCTGATTTCCAGCAAAAATAAACAACATCATAAAATTCCCATTGGGGAAGCTGGATTTGCTTAATGACTGTGCGACTTGCTTAATGACTGTGGCTATTTGCTTAACAACCATCATAAAACTTCTTGTGAAATTGGGTCCAACTCGACTTACTGTATGACTGCAATGACATATCATTGTTAGACATTTTTCATATTTCAATATTAACCAGAAATGTTTCCAATCTATTGCAGTAAGATGCTGAAGGAACATGGAAACCTTGCTAAAGAAAATTTAGTTGCAGGAATTATGTCTATTGTTATGAAAAGAAGGACTAAAGGAAACATGATAGCAATGCTCCAAGATCTAAGAGGCTGCCACAGAGAAGAAGGAGTCAACCTATTCTCCAAAGCACCAGAAGGCAAAACAAGAAGCAATGGATGGAAAGTAATCAAAGAGAAAACCAACCAAGAATTAAGGAGAATTTTCCTGACAGTGAGGACAATTCATCAGTGGGATGGCTTTGCCTCCAGAAGTTTTGGTAGCTCCATCACTGGAGGTTTTTAAGAAGAGATTGGACAAGTATTTAACTGAAATTATTATTATTATTTATTTATTCAATTTATATACCGCCCTTCTCCTATTGGACTCAGGGCGGTGCACAGCCAAGGATAAAAAACATACCAATACAAAATTTAAAATCAATTAAAAGAATTATACAGCTTTGGCCCACAATTCGCTTTGGCGAATCAGGCGGACCTGATGAAAAGCCCCCCTGGCCACGGCCGTCATATGCTCTTCCAAAGACAGCCGTGTATCCAGGAGGATGCCCAAGTTATGAGCCCTCTCCGTGGGGGCCAATGATTCACCCCCAATAGCCAGCGTGGCACCAGCTGGCTATATCGGGACGCCGGAAGCCACAGCCACTCGGTCTTGGAAGGGTTGAGTCGAAGCCTGTTATTCCCCATCCAGATCCGCACGGCCTCCAGGCACCGGGACATCACTTCAAGGGCATCGTTGGGATGGGGGTGGAGATGTACATCTCCACCCCAGGAGAAATGTTATATGGTCTCCTACTTGAGCTGCATTGGACTAGAAGACCTCCAATGTCCCTTCCACTCTGTTATTCTGTAACATGGACATTATTGAAGGTGATTCCAATAGGTTTATCCACTTTTGTCCTCTGCAGTTATTCAGGTCAGATTGTTTTGCTCCAGGGTGGGAAAAAAATTAATGGAAAAATGCCAAGTCCATATTTGCTGCTTTTGCCTCCAATTTGAGCTGAATTGCTCCAAAAAGAATTGATCGGGAATGCCAGATTAATCCAATGATGTCGAATCTCATTCCTTTTCGATTCTGACTTCCCCCGATACCGAAGAAATATATTTGCATCTTCTTGTCTGACTTTGAGCCTGACTTTTGAGTCTGCACGTACAGCTATCACTGGTCCCTAATCTTGTTTTGGCATTCTAATCAATCACATTGACGTTATCACCTACTCCAAGCGAGATAAAAACTTTCCCAGGGTATTGTGGCAATAAAGAATTAGAGAAATGATGTAGGCCAAGCGATAAATCCTGTCAGCAAACAATAATGTATACCCCCACCCCACACTTCACTTCACTATAGACTATCAGGGGAAAAAAATAATATGACACAAACAAGTATAACATTTTTTTTTTACCAGGCTGCACATATTTTCAGGATTTGCTAGTATAGTCAAACAAGGGCACTGTAATATTTATGCCGTCGCTGAAGTCAAAGACTACTCTCAATTAGCAAACTACCGAAACTGTATATAAGACTGATCGGAACAAGTTTAAATTGCCTGAATCAATCTCTTTCTTTGTATTATTTTAAGTAAGAGGCAGAAGCAGGCCTGATGGATAGATACCAAGGTACTGCTTCAAAACTTCAAATCTTCAAAGGG